AGCGTGCGAGGAGCAACGCAGCGGATAACTCCAATCGTGGGATGCTTATCGTTTTAAGAGGAGCCACTTTTGATTTGGCGGCGAGAAGAGAGACGGTGATTAAGCCGTCTACGTTGACGGTGAGCAGATATACGGTCGCTGCGAAGGCTGCAGTTGAGGCGTCGGAAAACCCATGAAGGGCACAATGTAACGTATGAGAGCCGTAAGTTGTCCAGCGCGGAATGCTAATGGCGTTGAGACATGGAAGTCGTTGATGGTAATCAGACCAGTAGTCAAGAAGTTGGCTGGGAATTTCATCATCCCACTGACATTGGAGTGACCACAATCGTTGCATAAAAATTTTTGCGGTAATACTGATGGGAGTAGCCCATCCTAAGGGATCGAAAAACTTGGCGATGGTCGACAAAATGGCTCGTTTTGTCCGTCCAGGAGTGTTCGGTACGGTTACGCGGAATTGAAAGCTATCTAGCTTCGGATTCCAGAGTATGCCTAAAATCTTGAGATGCTCGTCGTCCTGAAGCATCTTGTGCGTAGCTAATCCATGATCCGCGGGGTCGAGATCGGACAATAACGAAGGGGCGTTGCTTGCCCACTTGCGAAGGCGAAAGCCTCCTTTCCTTAATAATTCTATTAAGTGGTCGCGGGTCTGACGAGCAAGAATGTGGTCATCTGCGCCGAAAACACAATCGTCAACATACGTTTGATGACGTAAGACGGGAACAGCGAGCGGAAATTCGGCCCCGTCATCTTCGACGAGCTGAGCTAGAACTCGAAGGGCTAAGTATGGAGCGGCTGCTGTATCGTAGGTAACGGTGAGGAGACGGTAATCCGTTATGGGTTCACCTGGAGTTGGTTGCCACACAATACGTTGGTAGTCGATATCTCGGGAGTCAACTAGGATTTGCCGATACATCTTCGCGATGTCAGCGGTAAATACGTAACGATATTGACGCCACTGCATTAAGACAGAGGCTAAATCCTTTTGAAGCTTAGGACCTACTAGCATATGGTCGTTCAACGACGTCCCGTTTGACGTGCGACATGATGCATTGAAGACTACTCGTAAGCGGGTTGTTGCACTGCTGTCACGTAAGACAGCGTGATGCGGAATATAACAAGTTTGCCTTGGGTTGACAATTTCTGTCGGTGGGCATTTACTCATGTGACCGAGGGTTTCGTACTCTGCGAGAAATTCGCGGTACTCGGTAGCGTTGAGTGGGTCTTGACTTAGGCGTTGTTCCAAGCGTCGGAAGCTTGAAACAGCAATCGAACGCGATTCGCCGATCGAGATTGGTGGCTCGGTTTTAAAAGGCAATCGAACTATATAGCGTCCTTCCGGTGTACGAGAATGAGTAGCTTTAAAGTGCTCGTCGCACTGGTGTTCCTCAGGGCTCCATGGAGCTTGCTGAGGCACTTTCTCAATTTCCCAGAAGCGACGGAGATCGCAATCGAGATTTTCAAAAACGACTCCATGATGCGCGAGAACGGAGACTGAGTTGGGATGCGGCACCGAAGCTATCGGTCCAGACAGGATCCAGCCGAGAGTGGTATTTTGCGCGGTAGGCTCATGTTCGGAACCCTTTCGCACACCGTCGAGAACGAGCTTGCCGAAGAGATCGGCACCGATAATGAGATCGATTGGATCCGAACTCATGGGATCATGATCCGCAAGTTCGAGTCCTGCGACGTGTTTCCAATTATACGCGATCTCGACTCGATTCGGTAAATACTTCGTTA